GAAATATCTCGCGCGATCTTCTGATCTGCGAGGATGACAAAATTTAACGTTCGCCCGTGGGAGAGGCGCCCCGAGAAGATGGAGAGTATATCACATAAAAGTCGCAGTGATTACATAGAATAGGAGAAAATATGAAAAGACTTTAAAGCCGTATAATCGTTTCGTGAATTGATGCGTACTCTTGCCGCGAAACTTTATAGATTGTTGTGTCGAATAAAGGACAAGTGACATTTTTCACGAGAGCGAGGCAAAAAAATTCATTGCTTTCGCGAGGAGAAAAATGATAGATGGGCTATGGATGTTCGTCAATGTAGACATCCGTTGAGTGACGCCAGCTTTATTCGTTCGTGGAAAAAAATGTGCTAAGCGAGCACACGAATTTATGAAACAAAATAAAATTTTCTCTGTTCACCCAAAATATTTATCAAATACAAACAAATGAAAACTGTTGTTGTGCGCTAGCTCACATTCGAATTTGCATTCAATGCTTGATTAATTAAAAAGAGATGTGATAAATTTCAAAAGTAATTTTATTTTACATCTCTGCTGATTGTAAAATGATCAGTTATCAGTTTTTGATTTAACTTTTTATTATTGTAAACGGAACACAATCAAATATCGCAAATGTCTAAACTGTATCTAATCAAATACCAAAAATGAACACTTTTAAACATATTTATTCAATTTTCTCGTATAAATTTATTTTGGAAATTCTTTTGCAATTTTTTTTAAATTTAATATAATTTTTATAGTAAAAACTTGATTGTCGTTCGATACAATTACTTAATTAAAAATCTGAAACTTTGCTTTAGAATTCTAAAATGCAATTAACTATTAGAATTTAAAATAAAAGAATTAGAGAATTTAAAAAAATGTTTAAATAAATTCTACGCACAGCCGTCAAGATTTTGTATTATTTTTTGATTTTATAGTATGAAAAGCATATTCTGCACGAGCATCTAATTGATAAAATGACGTCGTAGCGTATATGAGTGAGAGTAAGGCGGTAGTATACGAACTGGCAATATTCCCGTCACTACGTACGTTCATTAAAGTCGATTGAGATGGATCTATAACTAGGTTAATGAAAAATACCCTCCTAATAATGCGCAACGCTCAATTATCTTCGTGCATCCTTGCACACCGCAAACAACTAAACGGCAAATACACAATATTCGTTTTAAATTTATCAAAGACTCACGACTGAAAAGGGATCAAGAGAAAAAGGAGACCATCGAATCATAGCGTAGGCGTCTCTATTGCTTTTGCTTCAAGCGCTGCTGTGTCAAGTTGTACGTGCACACTGTATATTCATAATACAAAAGTATAGATGCTACCTATGAATGCATTTTAGACACATCTTTGTGCAAGAGTCAACGAAAACATTTTGAATCGATCTAATAACGATACATTTTTTCATCGTGAACAGTTTCGAAGAAAAATAATAAGGTTGATAGATTTAGTCACTTAAATTTGAACTGAAATAGAACCTGTCGGTGTTGCATATTATTTTAAAGCCAAGAAATTTGATTCATCAGGCGTCATATTCGCGCAGGGACATCTTTGTAAGAGTAAGAATAAAGTAAGAAAATCAATTCATCGCGTAACTTGAATTCAGCAGACAAGACTTTAAAAAGTATGTTTTGTAAAGTTAAATATGATACAGACCCACGGAAAAATTAGATTGCAAGCTTAGTCAATTTCGAAACATAACAGGCTTATATCAATTGAAAATCACCAAGAACAAGAAGAAATTTCATTCGAATTTTTCACCGAATATAATCTTAGGTCCCTAACGAAATAACTACCCCCTTAATGAATCGGCTCGCGATAGTATCTCTCTTTTTCTGATTTCATTTAAACTTCTTTGAACAACGATCGATTGTATTTCAAAGCTGAGTATTGAAATATTTCAAACATATAATCCAAACAATATCATTAATCAAAATATTTTAATAATTTGAAGGGGCTAGAAGAAAGAATAAGTACATATTCAAATACACTTTTAGCAATTTTACCATTGGACAATTTTTTAAAAATTATTGTGAAAAATATTAAAATTAAAGTAAAGTGATACGGTGACAGAACTTGTGCTAAAATTTATAAAATGAGATTTTAGCTGTGGCCTGTGGTTTCAAGCTTGTAAAAATAGAAACTTCTCGATCGTGCTTGTAAAAAAACGAATTTCAACATAATTACAAAGGCGTAGTCATTATAATTACGGACACGGACATTTTAAAAAACGTAAGCAGCAGCGGGCAGCGTCCAATGAGTCCCTGTTGAGACCATGCATACGCCGCATATTTTACAAGAAGGTTGCTGCTGCTACTGCTGCTGCTGCTGCTGCTGCTGCTGCTGCTGAAGCGTCCTAGATTCACATTGTGTATGTTTGTACGGGGGCAACTGCGTCATCCTCAAAGTCCCTGACGATAAGTGTATACGCAATGGCTCGAATAAAAAAAAATTTTACTTTCCACAGGTGCACTTTGCATTATTTTTTACCAAAATTTTTCACGTTAAAACGTTTCTCCGGATGAATTTTAATAGAAAAACGTGAATTGATCAATAAGATTTCCCAGAGGCTACGAGAAAAAAGTTATGAGATACAGCTTATAAATTACGATAGGATTCTGCGAACGACTGCTCCAATACGCTTTTTACTTTTTTCCACCAATCTATTAAATTACTTTTTGAAGTACGATTTGCAGTAACTCAAAATTAAAATAATATTAAACGCCTTTTATTCCTGATCATTTAATATTACTTGCGAAAGTTTTAATAATAAATTTCATTGGTCGTAGACTTAAGAAAATTTAAATAATCTATACTTCATTTGTTGAAAAATAAAATAGATTTTTCTATATGTTTTTCATGAAAAAATACCCGTGAATTTTTGCAAAACTTTGATACTTCTGTCCAATTTATTTTTCAAATATATATCAGCAAATAATTATAAATGGATATTCTCGCTCTTTTTTAAATTAAATGCCCGATATCATGTATCCGATGTATGTCACGTCAATAAAATTATTTGTGAGTATGTGTGTTTGGTTCGTACGTAAATATTCAATGTACAATCGTATACTATAATCTCAATAAACCATAATATTATTGTCTCCACGAAACACGATGAATTTTCTTTTCGAGTAAGCGACGCGGCGCGACGGCTGCCGCATGGACTCTTTATTTATTTACCATTGATCTCTGATATTAGAACCGCGACGTACAGAGTTTTGTTTGCTATCAGTTATTTTCATATTTATTCTGCTCAAATAAAAGAAATAATACAGTTATGAATCCTAAGCTAGACAGATAGAGAGTGTAAAGGCGTATAGTGAAATTGAAACAAAATTTAGCGCGCTTTGGCGCCAATGAATTTAATCACTGAATGATTTTTACATAACCGTCACTCTTCCAAGGTTTTTAGAAATACTTTCAATAATTAAATAATCTTTGTCCGATATCCACAAAGCATTGCTTATGTTTAACAAGAAATGGTACTCTGACAAGGTATTTACTGTTATTGAATGATGACAAAAGGTAAAATTTGAAATTTTAATTTAGCTAGAAAACTCTGGGCAAACGTTCAATTTAATATTTGTTTATCTGTGAATAAATTTTCAATTTTTAGCTATCGTATTTTTGTGTAAAAATTCAAAATAGTCTTATGTAACTTCTGTGAAATTGAACACAACATTTCCACGCTCTACTTTAATGTAAGCAATATTCCTGTGAAATTTCTAAAAAAAGATTCGCAAAAAAGTCTAAGAATTTGTGTATAACTAAAAACATTACTGACATAAAAATATGTTCATTAGAACTTTTAAAATAAAATGTTAGATGATAAAACGACCGTCTAATCAAGTTAACTAGTTATAATAAAAACCCGCGTAAAGTATCGCTCAAGTTAAGCTTCCGAAAGGAAACTTTTCAAATAACTTTCTGATAATTCAAGGGAGTGGAAAAAGTTAAGCTTTTACGCGTTTTCGGGGGGAAAAGCTCATACGCTGGAAGTACGTCGGAAGTGCAGGCAGGGAAAAGCGAAAGAGAGAAAGAGAGAGAGCGAGAGTGTGAAAAACTGCTGCTGTTAAAGGTGTTACACATGAGCTTTCAGGAGTGAAGCTCACGCAACAAGTGCGTCCAATCGATCGTATTCTTTCGTGCAGATAATATTGATACCAGCTCTGTGTATAATCTATTCTAAAAGATTGGACCAACGCGAAAATGACAATGACGTTTTTCGTACGGAAAACATATATCGTTACCTAGCTCACAAAACGTCACGAGTGGGTAAAAATGTAACTTACTTAATTATATTGAATGCTATGTAGCAAGACCGTTAAAAAAATTAATACGAATAACTATACGAATCCAAATTCTTTGGTTATTATTTCAAATCGAGTTTATTAGAATTACCGAGAGGATCGAAAAATTAATATGAACAAACTTTAAATGTAGACAATTTAAAAATTAAACATCAAACTATCCTTCATTCGCGATTTTTATATTTTTAATCAACCTAGAGTGAAAGAATTTTAAGTCGTAATTGCGAATGTATTTCAGGCGGGATTGAAACGCTTGTGCTCGAAAGTTTTAAATTCTCATAAGACGATGAAACACTTTGCCTTTACACGTCAACGATTTTGAAACTGTTTAATTTTAAATCAGAAATATTTAAACTTTACATGTACACATTTACATTCCAAACCTTCAATAAAATAATAATGAAAATTTTTTATTCGTTCTCAGTCAAATACTTTGCTACAGTTACCGTTTAATTTGTTGCGCTATATTCTGATAAAGTTGTTACGAAAATATTTATTCTAAATCTTAAACGTGTTTGAAAATGTTAATTTTAAATAGAATCGAATTACTCTAAATTTATATAAGTACCGGGAAATGTGATAAAAGATCGCAGATCGTGCTTAATGCGTATAAGAAATCAAAACTTTCTTTGCATGAGTTGAATATTAAAAATCTTTTAGTATTTCAATATTTACCTCGGGATTTCCAATGAAACATCTACCCTCGAACGTTGTTCACTGGCTTCTGACGAGCAGGTAAACAAAATTTCGAGCTTTATAGCTTCAATGAACACATCATACATGTTTCAAATCAAAACAAACGTATAAATCGAATTTAAGCGCGAAAAGATGACGAGTATACAAACCAATTATAATTATACTTGAATAAACAAATAAAATTATCGTTAACAAAATTACTGAGTAAAAGTCTAGCACCTATTCTTATTCATTTGACTGTAGTAAAAAATCTGCAGTTGCGTAAAAATAACTGGCATAAAAGAAACGACTGTGAAAATTCATGTTATTCATAATCAATTCAATGTAAAACAAATTGTCATTCACGAGTTCTTTTATAAAAGAATGATTACATATCTTTGAAATTGTTTTCCATGCGAAAAAAACAGAAAATACAAAATTAAACGGGGTCGATATTGCATTATTCCCTTGAGAAGTTAATTTTAATGTACACCATAATAAGTACAATTTATGACTTTTCCAATACAACTTTAGTTTACTGAGAGAAAAGTTTTAACCGTCGTACATAACATACGATGCCGAGCAAAAGTTATTGTTCTCCCCCAACTAAAATTGAATCAAAAGTAAAGAGCATTATTAAATTTTTTATGCGTGACAGGCAATTTGTACCTGAAAAAGGCGATGAACTGCTAATTTGAATGTCTATTTCTGTCTGTTTATGTTTAATAAAACTGCAGCAATTTTCGAGGAATAATTTTGAAGCCAAAGTTAATTTGCAGATTTTCTTTGATATTCTCGAAAATATGAGGAAAGAAGACATGTAGAAATATTGCGTTGAACAGGAGTCAATTTAAAAAAAATGACAGTGTTGTGCAGGTCATGTTATTGTCGTTCAAGCGAGTTCACCGTGTAAACGAAGCGTACTATCTTACGAATACCGAAACGTGCTCGTATTTACTTTTTCTCTCGAAAATTGTCAGCGAGCTCGTGCGCACATTTTTCCCTTCGAGCGAGTCGCGATCACGGCTATAAACGGTCGAAGCGCACTCGCGATCGGAAAGAATCATTTTTGTTTTAATATCGACTCACCATAACAGAGGCGAAAAGAAATTATCTTCCCCACGTAAAAATGGTGCGCAGTACTTTTTACATGACAAAAAACGAAAGGAAGAAACAATCGCTGCTCCGTGTGTCCCCGTACGTGCTTGCGATAAAGCTCTGCGTTTTCGGGGGTGCTGCTCGGCTGTCTTGGAGCGCGCACCGAATGCAAAAAAACGTGGCTCGTGTTGTCCGTAGGGTCCGGAAGCCGTGGGGCGACTAGACGCGCGCCGCGAGGAAGAATCAGCCGCAGGGATGCCTAGTCGCTGCCGCTGCTGCTGCTCCTCCGCTGCTGTTGCTGCTGCTGCTACTGCTGCTGTTGGCTCGCTTATACTCCACTACTGCTGCTTTCGTGTATGTACGACTCCCTCCCGCGCAAAATGAGCGCCATCACCACTGCGTTCGCTGACATCTATACACATATACTGCAAGGAGCCTACTTAAACCGTCGCTTCTCTATTCGATATAATGTTTTCACTGTTATATATGCATTCTGCGACCAGCGACTTGCAGATATAATCCTTACGTATAATACATTTGTGCGATTATTATCTGTTGCATTTTTACTCCGGTACACTCTAGCTCGAGCACATTTTTAATTTTGGAATTACATGAGAAATTTCATTATAATTAAAGTGTGCAATTATAATTCAATTAAGCCGCGCGTTTAATCAGCCGAAAATATGTTATTAACAACGTAATAAGCTTGCTGTGCTTTAAAGCTACAAGCACGCCGTGCAGCTTAATTGCCGGTTTCATGCTGTACTCTCGTTGACGCTTCAGGAAAAACAGAAAGAGCTTACAAACATACTATTAGGTATTATTCGAGTTTTTGAGTTTTCTCATTTAAAGCTAATCGAATTGGAGCAATGTTTCGCGTACGCTCAAGTTTATATTTTTTTTTAGAATACACTGTGGTGAGCAACTCTGCGAAATTTTGATAGTTTTATATTATACAGATAACAATTCTAAACGTTTAATTACTCGGCAGGTGAACCATTTGAGGGATCGATTATCTCTACATCTTCTCAATACCGCAAGTGCAAATGTACTTTTGACAATTAAGACAAATTAATCGAAACCCGAAAAATAAGTCATTCTTTTTTAAATAGATTTCAGAAATGATTCGAATTTCTGGTTGGTTTATCGTTTCCTTCAAATTGAACACTCTTATATCGCTTTTTTCTCTTTTGGGATTGATATATTTAATGTTTAAGAAAAAATTTGTCATGCACTGCGTCACTCTACTAATTTACGATTGATCGGATTCAAGATCTCGTCCAGATCATCTTTAAATTTATGAATTTCAAGTCGTATTTTCACTGTGATTTGAGTATCACCTGTAATTCAATTTATACGTGATTTATATTCACGTGTGATTGAATGCATGTACGTCGTGTTGTTTTCTATAGCGAAACACAGCGCACTCCCTTGAAACCTTGTAACGTGGAAATAAATAACTTGCATGTTGCTGAAACTGCTGTGAAATATAATACGCATAACTCAAAGTTTTTGCAATTGATCATTGGCAACTCACGCTCGAAAAAATCTAGTTACGTATAAGTGCGTTATTTCACGTTTGTACTTTTTTTCTTGAAACAAATCACGATTATCGTAAGAATTATTCGGGAAATAAACTCATGAATTAGTACAAATTTTGCTCACAAATAATGATTTTATTGCTACTTAAAGCAGCTTCCTTTTTTAAACTTGTTCGCTGCAAGTCGAGTTCACATGAAAGTAACAAGAGAGATTAATGCAATTTTAAAGTCATGCTGCTTCGTATCCACATATATGCGAGATAAAAAATGAGCTTTATTTCTCTTATAGCTTTCTTTTTTTTGCGGTCGGAATGTAGGAGGAATTTTCAGTAGAATATTGCTTCGGTAAAAGAAAGAGAGGAAATTCAAAACAAAACAACCAATGAAAAAAAGTCACGGCAACAGTATTTTATTCCATTGAAATATGCACAGCTTTAACTTTCGAATTTAATGATTTAAAGGTTGAGGCGAGATTTATCGTTCTTTTCGATTATATCGATTTTCGCCAGAAACAATATCTCCGTGAAAGCCAATTGCGTAAGGATAAAACTGAAAATTTAGTTCGCTGGCATTAGGACTCATTCGAGCAAAAATGAGCATCGCTGAGCTTTTTCCACGCTCACGCGTTGCGGTCGAGTTTATCAATATACAGCGCACGCCTCTGTCTTTTCGAGAGAGACTGCGGAATTTCACGTGCATAGGGCGCGCACTCGGCCCTCGTGTAGTCCGGGGGGTACACGCCTCTGTACGCACTAGACAAACGCGATGCAATATGCGTTTCTATTTGTGTGCACGAGTCTGTCTGAGTGGCGTATATCGAAGTTGCTGTCAAAGTTGGCCACGCATATATGCATGTGGTTTACAAAGGTTTGGTAACACAAACACTGCACGCTGAGAGAGAGAGAGAGAGCGAGCGAGCGAGCGAAAGAGTAGGACGTCAATCCCTTACGGTTCTTGCGTAAACAACGAATGCACGAACTTGTGGAGAAATCACGAGTCGACGTTCGTCAGGAATGCCGTATTTGTCAAGTCCGTTTATTGATTCAAGTATACGCGCTTCGACTCTTACGTGGCTTCATTACAGCGAAGATTGAGTAATTAAGTGCGCAGGCGAACTTGAATTTAAATTATTTTTTTATTTGACTTTTCGATAAGATTTAGTTCTCACTTACTTAAAACGTTCGATGAAAGTTTTTCGCTATTCACTGAGATAGCTGTACAGACTGATGAATAGCTGTAGAGTTTAAGAACAATTTTTTGTTGTTGCATTTTCTGAAACTTTGTGCTTTCGATCAAACTGTGTCAATCGTATTGACCCTATAATGGCTATTTTTTACTACTTTTCACTATCCTGCCTCTTTTTCGATCTTTTTTCCACATCTTTTGATACTCTTAGATTTCTCGTGGTCGTTAAATTTGAAGGCCCAATATAAAAATTTAGTGGGCTTAGTGGAAGTTGTTAGTTGACACTGTGAGAAAATTCGTGTTTTTTTTTCTAAAAAATTCAACAATTTCCAGTAAAAATGCTCACTAACACTTTTATCCTAAATTCACTCGGGGCTGAATTAAATATTAGCAATAACCATCAATTTAGGAACAATTCCAACTTCGGGACTTTCAGTTTGGTCCTAAAAATTCTAATAAAATTTTGGAACATTCATGAAAATATCAAAATTAAAACAATCATCAGCCATTTATATAAATTACTCGTACGAAAATTTATACTTGACTCTAATAGTCTACCATGAAATTAATTTTTACTCACTAGATTTATTCGAATATTTTTTTTACGAGCAAAGTGAGCGTTTCAAGTTTGCGTATAATCATGTAACTGTGAGTAGAAATAACTAAGAGCTACCAGAATTTTACTAATTTTATCATAATAAAAATTCAGTAGTTGTGATACAGCAGTTTAGAAAATACCTGACAATTAATTTCGAGTAACATCCGATACTTTACACTTTTAATTGTGGTGAATAACTATTAAAAAGTATTAATTGCAAAGAATACAAAAGAAATCTTGGACTGACGTAGTTCTTTGTAAATATTTTTTTTATTGATTTCAGGATTGGGAAATAAACATTAATATTCAATATTATTTACGAAGCTGTAGTACTCAAATCACAGTATTTGTAAAAAGAAATAATAATAATAAAACTAAAGTACCATACAATAAAAAAATACTTTCATTGTATGAAAATAATAAATGTGCACTTTACGGCATGGCATTTTTTAGTAATCAAGCATATCGACTTTGAACATTTTTACCTTCTTTCTGAGACTTCGATTAAACTTTTTCTTTACGGTTGTATGGTTACCTCTCTTGCAGTGTTCTTACGAACATCGAAGTAGTTCAGAAAAATATTTCGTGGGAGTTTTTGAAATAAGGTTTCAAAATGATCATGCTCACCACAAGCTTTGGCACTTTTATGAACTCAGAGGTGCAACTTACGTGTCGAAGTTCACGTA